TCCCGATTGCTACTTTTCAAATTGTCACCCTGTATGTTCAATGAATGATGAGTTCAAATATCACATGGAATGATGTCTGTTGATAATTTTATTACCTCTATCACTTGCATTTTTGTATTAACTTTTTTGTGCAAACAAATTATTATTGCATGAATCACTCTTAAAGGAAATCATTCAATCTCCCTGTTTATTAAAATAAATATAATAACAGAGACAGCATTTAAACCGGTTTCATAGGTATTGATCGACCTTTATGTCCGGTGACTGAAATATTCGACGCTTGGCCACTGACCGGTCTGCGACATGATTAAAGGAAGGTTGAATGAGTTGAGGTGAATTTTTGAATTGACCAGTAAATTGATCATCTATATAGTGATACAGTTTTATGAACACTTCGGCTCGATTTAAGCGATTTGAAATGTTGTAGTGTTAATTTGGACCTGATTTTTGTATTATCTATGAACCCGCTTAAGTATCAATTGGTATAAGAAGTATGATACGTTTTTGTCTATGGTGAAAACGAGACAGCCGACTACCAAATGAATTTCAAATGAACCTGGTGCTCGGTTTATTGAAACTTGCGGACAAGAAAAGAGCCAGAGGAAAACAAGAAGAGTGAGAAGCAGCTACAAATTATTCTGCAACACAAAGAACAGAAAACAGAGACAGCAAATACAGGGCCGCCGCTAGGGTGTTAGCCGCCTGTGTTCCCAGACAATTTTCGCCGCCTTACTTCCATCTAAAGTACAAAATTAAGAGCGTTGGAATGGAATACAATTTTTAGAGTTTAACGTATGAGTCGTGGACCATGGACCGTGGTAAAGACGAAAGAAGGACCACACAAAAGGAAGACGCGCATCTGTAGGGACGTCACAAGGGTATCGGCACTTAATATGCAATCCTCTTTGTTTAAAATCCTTGGTTTGTGTCAATCGTTCGTCGGCTGTCATGAGCTGTTTTTCTCCTCTCTACATTACAAATTTCTTCTCTCTCGTGTAAAGAAATTTGCCAAAATGTGACGCGTCTTTCAGATCACTCCATTCTCTTCAAATATCAGACCGCCGAGCCGCCTAAGAAGTTTTACTTCAAAAAATCGAGTTTTCACATATGCTCAATGAATTTTAATTTCAAAATCTTCAAACCTCGATTGCTCAGTAGCCGTTGGGCAAATTGCATTAAAATTTCCAGCATTTGTAGCTTTTATTAAGTTCTAAATGGCCTATAATTCACAATATTCCCAGATTTATAGTTTTTGAACTGATTGAGTTTGAAATTTTTGACAAAATTTGGACTAAAAGCCAACTTTGAAACTGAATCACTCAAAAACTATTTAAGCTATCAAACTCAATTTTGCACATATTTATAGAAAATTTTATGCTCTTTAAAATGGTGTGTAATTTATTTCAATTTGCTCGAAATTTAACAAGGAAATGGGCAATTGTTCATGACCATGTCAAGATTTTGGGAATTTTCCAGAGCAAAAAATAGGATTTTCTTTTTATTTTCGTTTCTGCTTAAAATGGCCATTCGGAATTGGTGTCAGGATTGTTTTCCACTAATTTTGGCCCGCTCTATCGATTTACAAAATCAAAATTGAGCAAAACTGAAAAATAAAAAAAAATCGAGTTTTTCATTAGGGTATATCCCCTTTGAATTCTGATTTCAAAATATTCAAACCTCAATTGCTCGGTAACTGTTGAGCAGCTTGCATTGAAATTTTTAGCATTTTTAGAGCTTATCAAGTTCTAAATGGCCTGTAATTTACAATATTTCCAGATTAATAGTTTTTGACTAAATTGAGCAAAAAAAATCGAGTTTTTCATAGGGGTTCACCTTTTGAATTCTCAAATTGAGTTTGAAGTTTTTGAGAAAATTTGGACTGAAAGTCAACTTTGAGGCTCAATTGCTCATTGATTGAGCTATCAAACTCACTTTTGCATGAATTTATGGAGAATTTAATGCTTTTCTCAATGGTATATAATTTATTTCAATTTGCTTGAAATTTAACAAAGTTATGGGTTTATTTGTTTGAGAGATTTATTTCCGATAAAACTCGATGGGTATGATTTACTTTGAAGTCAAAACTTGTTAGGCGGCGATCTGATATTTGGACGAGAATGGAGAGTGATTTAAAAGACTTGCACGTTTTGGAAATTTCGTTTCACGAGAGAGAAGAAAGATATAACGTAGAGAGACGGCTAATGATATGACAACCGACGATCGATTGATCGATTGACACAACCCAAGGATTATAAGCAAGGAGGATTGCCTATTATTGACAAGCGCCGATACCCTTGTGAGGTCTCTAAAGATGCGCGATTCCCTTTTGTGTTGTCCTGCGTCTTTACCCGAACTCAGACGCTCTCTAAAAGTTGTCTCAGGGGAGATAGTTTTTAGGAAATTTCACTTCTACTACGTGTACGGCGCTGCACATGATTTCTTTTTTGCATCAGGATAGGCGGCGGCAACCCCTTTCAATTGGCCGCCCCTTTCAATCCGCCGCGCCTGTGTGTTTTGAACACACCGCACATATGGTAGCGGCAGCCCTGAGCAAATATTGACCAAATCATCGGATTATTCCAAAAAAAAACGACAAGAAGTCGAAGGCGAAATAGGCACAGCCATGGGTGATATAGGTTCGGTACGCGAAAAATTCGAGGGTGATTATCAGAAACAGAAAAAGAAAACAGATATAATTCGGAATGAAACCAACAACGAAAGTAGCGGTAAAATGGATGCGTCGGTGAGCCTTCTCGTATGTCAAATTCCTTCAAACTTTGAGGTAACCTAGACATTTATTTAAAATTAAACAGGTCATGGTGAAGCTATGGACGATTTATAATTAAAGTATAGCCAGACAGCTACCCATTATGTTACCCCAGATTGACGCCGAGGTTGCCCAGAGCCTGAGCGGCTTACTTGGGCGATAAAATCCTTCCAATGGTTCAAGTCACCTAAAGTTAACGGCATTTTTCCCTGCTGCAGAAAGGGCCAAAGAAAATCATGTCGTATCTGATCAAACTTATCAGATAAAGCTTAGCGACTGGGTAGATGGCAAGTGAGTGGAGAAGCGCTGAGGTAACTTTGATCCCAAAGGTAAGGAAAAGGAAAACCACCTTTATGCCTTACGTCGTTCTTACTGTAAACAGCTGAGAGAGTTTCAGATAACTATATCAGAACAAGTGTTCTAGAAAAGACGCCACTTCATCCTCGGCAGCATTGTACAGAACACATTGCATATTAAAGAAATAGCCATCTGTGCTTAATTAGACATAGCCCCCTCTCTTGGTAATACCCCTCTTGGGTTAATCAAGAATGCACTCCTCAAAAAAGGAGTGAACAAAACCATATCCACCTGAATGTGCGACCATATGAACAAAAAAAAAAGTGAACAAAACCATATCCACCAGAATTGCCGAAAATGACGTAGGCGAACAAATCATTCGAGTACGTACAATCGCCTTTGATATGAAGTCCATAAACTCTTGAGTGTACTGACTGATCAGGGGTTCACCTGCTTTGGATACCCTGATGATATTGTCATTATGGCCAGAAAAAATTCGAAGGAACACTCTGCAACCTCATAGAAAAAGCACTACAAGCCACGAACGAATGGCTGAGAAACATTAGCCTCAATGAAAGCAAACTTAAGTGGTAACAAGAAGTGAAATTCCTAGGAGTAACCCCACATTCTAAACAAAGCAATTTTGTTGGCACACTCATATGGCGTGTAAAAACATTGCGGGTAAAACGTGGGGCTGTGACCCATCAATCCAGCGATGGATGTATACTATGATTGTGAGACCAATTACTACTTATGATCATATCTCAGACTGGCGAAGATCGGTATTCAAGGGAAGAAGCACTCTAAATTCTTTCTCTTCTAAGCTGTACAAACCCCATGGATTTACCAAAAGATACGATTGTTAAGAAATTCAGCTCCGAAAAAACTTTTCTATTAAACTTAGCACGAAAAACAAATGGGACATAGAATCTATTCAGTCCCTAAAAGCAAACACCATCAAACGGTATACAGATGGTTTCAAGCAAGTAGAGCAGGAGTATTCGAGCGACGGACCAGATAGTCGGAGCCAATGGGCAAATCACCAAGCATCTCTCAAGCGGAACTGCATGCGATCGGAAGATGCGTGCATGCAGTTCAAAAAGAACAGAGGCTATTGGAAACGAGAGCTGCTATAAGCATTAAGTTTCTCAGTCATCAATTTCAAGATTGTATGAGAATATTTACAGAAACTCAATGAGTTAGGAAAAGAAAACAAAGTGGTGTGGAAATGAGTATTTCGTGGTCTAGAACACATTAAATCACAATAGACCTACCAAATATAAAAATAGCTATATAATATTAAAGCTAGGAGTATCGATTACGGCGGGTGTTGCCCAGCTGTGCTGATCGATATGATTAAGGCATTTGATCCTTCGAATATTGAATTGTTAATAGTAAAACTTAGATATTATAAGATAGAAAATAGTGGCTTCTTTGTAAACTATGTGTGTTTTGGTCGGAAACAGCCTGTTCGATTGAGAGATGAAAATAAAGTAACAATCTCTGATTTCTTGAATAAAAATACAGGGTTGTCACAGGGATCCGTAATGAGTCTTTTTCATACTTTTTAAAGCTGATATTCGAGCTTTTATCAAAAATATATTTTATCATCTATATGCCGATGCTCTACAGGTTTATCTCCCGAGCAAGCAGTCTAGCCTTCCTGAAACCTTAAACAGGATTATTAGTGATTTGGATGCAATTTCAAGTTGGGCACAGTGTTATTCTTTTTCTGTAAATCCTGTTAAGACGAGCGCCATACTTTTTTCCAAATTAAAAATTGACAAGAGTAATTTGAATGTTAATGTTACTAATGTAATCATTAGCTGGAGCGATGAAGTGGGGCATCTTGATTTATATATGAATGAATGTATGAGTTTTGATAGTCATGTGAATAACATCTGTCGACAATTACAAAATGGACAAAAAATCTTACCTCTGCCGTGGCCAGAGCGCACAGTCCCGCCAACCACACGGCCCAGGTCCAGCCTCTAACCGGCCGCGCCCGCACCCTGGCCATGACGTCACGCCCGTTGGGCGCTAAGCCATCACTGCCGTTGGCCCCCGTCCCGAGTCATGCAGCACTTCTATCTACAAAAAAAAATAATAACTATTATTTTCTCAGCGAATTTCTCAAGAAACATCCGCACTTTATGAAATGAAGTGCCGAAATTCCAGCTGTTCCCAAACTTCTAACATATATCAAAAAGTTTGGAATTTATATATAGTTGTGTGTTGCGTTTAAACTCGATAACATAAGGATGTTTTTTTTCTCACTACCAGTAAAGTGAAAATCTTTGGCAGCAAGATAAATGTTACTGTAAGATTATGGTTGAATAATTGCATATCAATATTTCTAAATAAAAAAAAAGAAAACGAATTCTAGAGTAAGCAGATTTTGTTGTTTTTATACAGTTTTGGTCGAATGGGGAGTTTCACCATATATCTGAATTTCATTGCTTTATTATTTTTAATCAGTAGTATGAACCAAAATAAAAATACCCTTGCTTTCAGTTACCTTGTAATATAATAAAAATAATATATTACGAAAAGTTTATACGGTTTTTACAAAGTTTGCAAATTTAAATAAGTATTATTATCGTGTCTGAGATAATTATTTAAACCTAGATGAGTTAACATCTGAATGTGTATTTAATGAACATAAGTAACACACTAAAGAAAACGGAGAAATTCACCAGAGTTTTTGAAAATGTACTCACAACATACAGATTAAATTTTTTTGTATTTTTAATTATTTTTATTGAGTTTGGTATTAAGTTATAAAATTTAGCAGACAAAAATGCTAGAAATCTTTGCTTATAGGTAGTGTTACAAATAGGTATCAACAGATGACCATTTATTCTATTTCGTGTACTGTAACTATTGTGACTCACAAGGTTCATTTTACAGGAATTGAAATGTACATAGGAACATACAGAAAAAAATAAACAAACATCTCAAATCCAAAATCATTACCAAATACATCTGCAAAGTAGGGAATCGTTTACGTTTTTTATTAATAACTTTTAAGATGTAGTTTTGTACAACGTTTAGTTGTTTAAGTTTTTATATAGTCCTCCCCAAACCAAAATGCCATATCTTATCAGTGACTCCACCAACGCCTTATAGATTATGAGAAGTACATTCTTGTTCAAAATTTCTCTTAACACATAGAACTTATAGAATAATTCACGTATATTGTTAGCTAGTCGTAAAACATGCATATCCCATCTAAGATGACTATCAATAATAATTCCAAAGTACCTACTTTGTGTCTTTCACCTCCCTCAATTCTGTGCCAGAATCATTCAATTTTAGTGAACTATAGTCTGGGCGATTTGCTGAAGTTATAAAGAAAGCAATGTATGTTGTTTTTTCAACATTAAGGGAAAATTTGAATGATTCTAGCCAGTTTACTATACGTTTAATTCCGTTTTGAGCTAGCATTTTTACGTTTTTCCACGAGGAGTCTCCAAAAATCACAGCTGTATCATCAGCATGAGAAATTACCGTCCCGCTTTCAATTTTGATATTCGTTAAAGAATAATTGATGTAAAGAATGAACAGTATAAAGGGCTCAGAACGGTTCCTTGTAGAACTCCAATTTTTACAGTCAAAGGATCGCTGAAGGAGTCACCAATTTTAACAATTTGTTTTCTATCTCGCAGGTAACTCGAGAAAACCTCCATCACAATATCACGCACCCCATGTACATTAAGAACATCCAAAAGTGTTTCATGTCGCACCGTGTCGAATGCTTTGGCAAGGTCTAAAAAGACGGCCAAACAGCACTCATTATTAACCAAATGATTATTTACTCTATTTACCAGTTCAACAATAGCATCTGTTGTACAACTGTTATTAACAAAACCGAACTGGTTATGGAAGAAAATGTTGTTGATAGTGAGAAAACTTTGAAGTCTAGATTTTAAACATTTTTCAAAAATTTTTGAAAAATTACCTATAACGCTTATTGGCCTATAGTTATCAACCTTGGATGGATCATTAGCCTTGATGATCGGAGTTATTATGACAATCTTGAAATACCCCAGTACTGAAAATAGAATTAATAAGGTGTTTCAAAGGTTTAATGACATAGATATGATATCTTTTAATCAATCTTACGTTAGCTTTATCTGAACCAACTGATCAATTATTTTTTAGTGAATTGATATTTTCAATTATTTCATTATCAAGTCAAAAACATTGAGGCCATGGAGTTGCAATTTAAGCTAAAGGGATTATCTGGTTATTTATTTTATTGAACATTTTCATGCCAATGTTGTTAAAAAATTTATTACAATAATTGGCCATATATTTACTATTATCAAAAGGAAGAGATTCATCATTAGTTATTTGGATGATATTATTCTTATTTTTCTTCGCTTCATCTGTAGCTTGTGAGATAATTTTGTATAATTCTTTGTAATTATTAGAGTTGTAGAGTAGTTTGCTATTTTCTCTTTGTTATATTCATGTTTAGTTTTTTGTATTAATTTATTTAGCTTGTTACGATATTGCTTATAATTTATTTCGTCTTCTTTATTGTGATTTAGTAGTATTCTTTTTTTCGTTCGATCTCTAGTTTTTATTGAATTAATAATTCCATTTGTTATTTATGGCTTCAGCTTTCTATTCTGCCTATGGGTGACTGATTTCACTTCAGTAGCTTACTGTGAAATAACAGCATCCACACTTATAAAGTTCTCAGTCGCCACTTCCACATCGCCGGTGTCCAAGACCCTTTGCCAGGCAATATCTTTGATCAATGATTCAAAAGTAGCATAATTGATACGTTCATAAGTATTTTTTTATTGTTGTGTGATTATTGTAGCTTTTATCAACGATGTTATTGTGAAGGTTTAGGTTTAAAAGCACTGGGAAATGATCAGTCAGATCAGTTTCGAGAATAAGCGAGATGCAAGTAGATTTTATTTTGTTTCTCACAAAGATATGGTCGAGACATGAGCCGGTTGTTGAAGTCATACGTGTGAACCAATTTAGAACCGATTCAAAACCAAAACCATTTGAGGTTGACAAGTAGATATCACTATGATTATCATGCTTCTTCAAAATATCAATATTGATATCACCCAGAAATATTTCCACCTGATTTGAAAGATTGCACAACAAAAAATACTGCTCAAGGTCATTCAAGAAAGATTGGATATTGCTGGAATGTGGTCTATATCCACATGTGACTCCATCATATGTAATATTATCTAATTCAAAATTTATTTTGGTAAGCGTCACATTTGACGCTCATAATTTAGTATCATTGAAGGAAATATCAAGGTCAGATTTAGTAAAAATAACTATACCATCGTTCTGATTAAAGTTTGCATTATTGTAATATGTATCGTAACCTACAATATTAAAATTTCTCTTATCCGCAATTTTCTAACATTCACCTAATACAATTACATCCCAAAAACTTTTCACAATTTGCACATTTCGTTGTTTGCTCCACGCATTCCCGTAATTCATGGTTCCCACCACAGCAGCAACAAGTTAGGTATACTGTTTGGACAATTTTCACTCCTGTGGAAAAACTCCTGGCACTTAAAACAGCTCTGAATTCCAATATCTTCATAAATCCAGTGGCGTAACTTCAGATTTTGGACCTGGGAGCAGAGTGGTTTGGCGAGACCCTCTTTGTCTAAAGGCCCCCACATTTCGTTATTTTTCATTCGATCGAATCACTGCGATTCGGAAAGTCGTGCTAAATCGTAGAGCTGTTTTGCCCACATACTATGTGAATCCCATACTTATCTTCAGTCGCTCACGCACGATGGACAGAAGTAAATATTAGCAGTGGCGGTGGCAGGTTGGGTTTTAAGATAGTAATATACTCCAAAGACTTTATGCGCCATAAACAAGGAAACTGTCTATACAAATCAATCAAATTTATGATACTCTTTTTATTGAGGCATTTTGATCCATGTTTAGTAAAAATTTGAACACACACACAACAGAGTCCTTATTTTTGGAACAGGGGAGCAGCGTTCCCAGGAGAACGAGTGTTCTTCTGTCTTTGTTACTTAATATATTATCACTTGTATATCATTGAGAAAGACAGAACACTCGTTCTCCTGGGAATGCTGCTCCTCTGTTTCAAGAGTAAGGACCCTGGTGCCAACTCTTCGCTCGCCGCTCATATAAAAAACACTACGATTTTGAAGTAATTTCCCCACACCCTTCAGTTTGGTCCGTCAAAAGACAAACCTAGGGCCAAATTATGGACCGAGCGGTAATGTCATTGGCAAATTTATCCTGGTGGTAAAACTAAAAATTAAATTCAATTTTTAGTTTAACCAGCCAAAGACATTACCAATCGGTACATAATTTGGCTCTAAGGCCCGGTTTATTCATCCTCTGATAAACTTGCTGATAACTATCTGCAAGATAAATTGACTGTTTTTTAATTCTGGTCGGCGGATAACTAGCTGACTAATGGGATTACATATTACGTTTACCTATATCCGTCTGATTGCATACCTGAGAGTTTATCAGAAGGTGAATAAACCGGCCCTAACATAACAATCAAAAAATAATTAATTTGCGGAAACCGCCTACTATCTTCCACGCTAACAGCTAACATTACCGATCGCGATGTTACTTTTTGCGGAATACCTATACGTTTACCAAATAAATGTGGGTAGTACTGTTAGTACTAAGTAGATAAGTGAGTCAGCAAAATTTTTAATTCAAAAGAAAAACTAGTCTTCCTCCACAAATACTTTATTCGTTTTAAATTAAATAGCCCTACATGTTTCGGAATTAGTAAATCCCATCATCAGCGGCAATGAATTAGTTCATAATGTTAACAGGAATGGATATCATAGGCTGCCAGATCCTGCTAATGCTGAAAAATTTAAATGAGTTTTTTTTTAAATGATCTATGATATCAAGGAAGACTTAGAGTTTTTTTTTTTTTAATTTAAATTTCAACTCCACTTTGAGATATGGACTACTTTTTCAATTTAAAATTTTTAATGATTTTTGTATTTTCTTGATTACAATCAGGTTTCGTAAGACATTATTCTAAGAATCGTACGAATATGTTTTTTGACTGTAAAATTACTTTTGCA